ATATAGCTACAGTCTGCATTAGTCGGTAGCTAATAAAACTTTCAAAAATGCCGATTACTAAATTCACAGTATATATATTGTAAATTCAGTACTCGGCATTTTTGAAAGTTTTATTAGCTGCCGACTAATGCAGACTGTAGCTACAGCTAATGTCGACTTTCAAAAACTTATTTGCACCAAGTATAATTTTTCCCTAATGTTACATCTATAAAAATTGCTGCAGTCGGCAAAATCTTTGAAAAAGTCGACATTTTATTAAAACTCTTTCCCCATAATTCGAATTTTCACTGCGTTCCTGTAAACGAATTTTATGTAAAAATATCAATATCCAAACAAATTTTGGTTAATTTATTTGGTTAAGTACTCAGAATTCATTTCGGCGTTCGAAAAATCAATCGCATTACACGCTATCGGCTCATTATTTAAATATTTGTAAGAGAGTCGGATAAAAATACACAGGTAATTAAGGAGGTGTAGGATCAGGTCAAAAGAAAGAAGCTTGTTCTTGAAAATAGCTGAAATTTAGTCTAGCAACATTTATACATTCTAACTCGCTAAAAAAACACAATTTTAACTATAAATTTATTAGTTTAAAGTAATCTTTAAAGGTTATCAAAAAGGTTGATTAAAACATTTAAAAAAACCAATATAAGAAATACGAAATATCCACATTTATCTGGGCAAAAGTCTGTTTTAGTATGAAAAATTAATTGGAATCACTAAGTATGGCAGTAAAAGCTGTTGGATTGATTCCTTCCGGTCGCTTTTCCAGAAAGTTTTCTATCAACCTCAAAGTTTTTAATCCACTTATGGAACTTACTGAGCGGTTGCTTCATTCCAGACATTTTCTTCATATTATTATTATTAATTTCTCGTCAAATTCCTTGACATGAAAATTAATTAATTAATAAAAATCATTCTTGACTTCTCTTTAGTATTTTCTCATCTCATAACATTTTTAAGATAAAGCTTAAATTTGTTACAAATATATATTATATATAAACCCGATGAAAATGCAATATTATAATATATGGTACCCAAATCAAGCCATTGATTATTTGAGCTTCGTGCTAATGAACATTTAGCAAATTTCTTGTTAATGTCAAGGGTTTTGCAAACTATTCGAAGCTGCAACATTGTTTCTTAGAAATAAACTAATGAACCAAACTATTCCTAGTGTATATTAGCAGCAACCCTTATGTAGCGACCCATATAAACTTGCAGATATCTTTTTATGGTTTCTGGGTATCGCGGACGGTAAAAAAATATGCAAAATCCGGTTTCCGTTTTCACAATGTTATCAGCGTACGGTATTTTACACGCACGTTTCATACACACCTAGCTGAAACGACCGGATAACGATCGTTACATGCAATTCTTTAGATAGCGCCCTAAGTCTTGCTAGGCTTTAAAAATTAATCTTCCGCGTAGGGTGGCAACTAACAAAGGAATATTTTAATTAAAATACCTTTTGATCGAGATTATTGTGGAAAAATGTGACGTAAATGCTAAGAAAAATGGCGCAGGAGAGATTGCATGATTGGGGTATGAATATGCAGTTTTGCGTTGAGGACTTTGAGTGGCGACTGCAATAGGTTATGCGAGTTCTAGACCACATTTTTTTTAATTTTCCTAATTCTTCTTAAATATAAAAGACCAATTTTTCAAACTTGGTATAATAGTATATAAATTTTATACCGGGTGCAGAGCTGGGAGTATCTTAAAAAAATATACTTAAAAGTAACTTAGATACTTAAAATATCTAAGATACTTTATCTTAGATACTTTTATATTGGCCAGAAAGTATTTTTAACTTAGGTTTTTTGAAAAAGTATCTTGTAACTTGTTACTCGGTAAAGTAACTAAGATACATGCAAGTACTTAACTTATATACTTTAAAGTAACTAATATACTTTTTAAAGAAACTTAGATACTTTATTAGAGAAAATTGGGGGAACTCAAGAATGATTCAAAGTAATTACCTAACCTACAGCTTGTTGAATTTTTATAATTTTATAGTTTTTATTCATACATAAAAGTAACTTAGTTACTCAAAAGTATCTTAGATACTTCCATATAGTATCTTAGATACTTTAGAGCCATTCCACGCGTGACGGATGGGATAGTTGCCGTGTTTTTATTTACAAAATAATGTTGTTCTATTGTATTGCCAATGTCAAATTTTTATAAATGGTTCTAAACTGTGTAACATCAACAATGTTACAGTGTCTTAAATTTAAATTTAACAAACATTTTAGTTTATATATTGGAATTTTATTAGTTCTAATTTGTAATAATTATTTTAATTATAGGTAATAGATCTGTCGCTTTGGTTTAAAATTGTTGTTATTCTCTGTAGGTAGGCAACCAGGCTTGCAATGTTGAATAAATCTAATTATGTAGCAATACTCTGATAACATTATTTTGGGCATTATTTCGAATGTTTTAATTGGTAAATTTGATTATTTTTAAAACAATTTTAATAGTTATAATTTGTTTTTTTATAAACTTTTTCAATAAGGTATGATTTTTTTTATGAACGAACTCGCTGCTTCGTATCGATAAATCGCGCATTTAATTTTAAAATCTTCTGCAATCTACTACTGTAACAGAGTTATATATAATTTTTAAAGAAATTATAAAGTATATTTACATAAAGGCCACACTACATCTAAGGTAATTAACCTCTATAATTTATATTTTTATTAAAATATACCTTTTATTTAATATAAACTTTAATTGAGATATCACAGGGTGAATTTTATATCTTGTTACAAATTTTTAACTTACAATTTAAAAGTTTACTAGCGATTTAGTCCAATTTAAAAATAAGAAAAGCTACATAATTATGTTTATTTTAGGCCTTTTAATTTTACTTCAACTTTAATTTCACTCCTATTTTACTCCTGCTGTACTTTTACTTTACGATACTTATTAAAAGTAATTATTGTACTGGGTTTGACGAGAGATTCCTTCTACACGTTCCCTAAGAATACCAAGAAGTAAGGCTGTGTACTGCTTTCTTGTAAGATTTGCGCTTGGGGCAACTATAGTGGAAGCTTCAGGAAAATACATTGGCGGTTTGACTGGATGTCCCATGTAACAAGAGCCCATAGGATAGTATTGAAGTCCTTGTGTACACAAGGAGGTTGAGGTAGAGTGCACTTTATATAATTTGTTGGTACCTAAAACATAAATTAATTTAACTGTGAGAATTCTCGTTATATATGTGTATATGATTATTACTTACCTGTATTTGTTAACACTGTTAGGTTATTAGATATACATTTAAATTTGTAAAACTTAAAGCGACGGGATTTAATATATATATATACATAGTTTTTTTAGCAAATTTGTTTTTCATTTCTAGAGACATTATCTAAATTAACTAAAATTTATAACCACTTAAATCAATTACAACTTAAATTAAATTGGCTTTGGTATTGAGCTAATTTCACTTTTATATTTTTAATACCTGGCTCCCTCAACAAAACCCTTATCACGACTCAGTGAACCTAGCAACGCTGAACTATAGCCTGGGTAACAACCGCACCCTTAAATGGTTAGCATTTTATGTTACAACTGGAGCTGTTTAACAAGGTTTTTATTTGGCAAAATTGGGTATCGTGATTGACTGTCCAATTCCTTAAAAACTAATAATTTAAAGCGTAACGGTCGGGACTTTGCAACTATAGGATATATCCCATCCGTCACGCGTGGAATGGCTCTTTAGGATAGTATCTTAGATACTTTTTAAAGTATCTTGTAACTAAAGATAGTTTTAACTCAAAGTATCCAATTACCAGAGGTAACTAAGTTATTTTGTTTAAAGTATCTTAGAAAAGTAACTAGATACTTTTCAGAAGTAATTTTCCCAGCTCTGACCGGGTGACTATAGTGAATGAATTTTTTCTGATCATGTCAGGATCATCAATAGGCCATTTTTAGCACACCCTTCTTTAAGATTTTTACAGAAAGCACTTTTAACTGCAAGAAAAGTAAAAAGTCTTTTTTCCATCTCCTATGAATATTTAAAGGGTTTTAAAAAAGTTGTGTCTCAAAGCGAGATACGGCCGCGAGTTTTTTATCGCATCAATTTTGTATTTATTCGCCATATTATAAACTTATGTACAAAGTTGGCCAATCCTCCTTTTTATTTTTAAAAGCCGCTTTATTGCTCCATTAACCGTTTAAATCTTAAGCGGAGGAATCTTAAACTTTTCCAGAAAATATTTACCAATTTATACATTCTTGCTTCGGGATTTTTCGTAATTAGTTTGTCGTTACCCAACCTAATATACCGGGTGAGTAGGTGAGTGTTACAAGGGGATATTTAGAAAACGATTTAATTTTTTGTGTGAAATTTTGGTAAACTAATAGAGAGGTGGGGAGCAATGTCCCCGGGACATATTTATAAATATTTTTGACATCTACCCCCTTTCCTTATTTAATGTAAAATCTAGGTAGGTATGTGTGCAAAAATTTATGATTTATGATTTATTAAATTATAAAATATAAAAAAATAATTTTAATTCTTTATCAAGTGTATGAAATTCATTTAGAAAAAGACTAAGAAAGTATTTGGAAGTTAAAGAGGGACATTTTGAAGAATTTTTCAGACATGAAGTTGAAATTTAACTGTTAATATTTTTAAGTATCTTATAATCTAATAAATCATAATTCAGTAACTAGTTTTTTTTTTAAAGTACATCATCCCTATAAAAAATCTAAAGTTACCCCCTGCCCCTCAAAATATGGAAAGGCGGTAGGTGTCAAAAATATGTTTAAATATGTTTGCCCCTCTCTATTAGTTTACCAAAATTTCACAAAAAAATTTAAACCATTTTCGAAATATCCACTTTCAAAAACTCACCCGGTATAAGGCAAATTTCACCAAAAATAGCCAGTCAATTAGATTTGTACTGATACAATTTGAAGTTTTTTGACGTTCAATTTAAATAAGTTTTATTTAACAAAATTATTTTAAATTATAAACTTACTGCTTCAGAGTGAATAGGGTGAACTGCGAACAGCATGGCTGCCACAAAACTGGCCAACTCTGGCAGGAACATGGCACACATCCTGCAAAATTACACAACTATTTTAATGACAAGCAATCACCAAAAGTAATTTTATTTAATCAAAAACTTTATTGACAAGCTTCAAAGTGATTAAATTTACAATGTATGCTAACACGAACATTCTTTCCATAAATTGGTACTTTTATCCAGTCAAATCTGCGACGAGAATTTAATTTAATTTAATTATATTTCCATTATAACTGTACTACATACAAGAAAATCGATTAATTCACATTAAATTTAAATTAAATTTACCTGAAATACATCAAGCACACTACAGTGTGAAGCACCATGTTCACCAGGTGGTAGCCCATTGGTTCTAGCTGTGTCAGCATGTAGTTCCATCGAAACGTAAGTACGCATAGTGGACGATACGATTTGTGACTTTGTTCCTAAAATAAAATAAAAAAATAAGTACAATTGCAAAAATCAAAGTTAGTTTTGGCTAAAATTAAAAAAAAAATGTTGGCCCTTCTACGCCTTCGTAGTATTTTAATAACAACATATTTTTTTTAATTCCAAAAACACGTCAACTAGTTTTTTATGGGTAAATTATGGTGATACTTTTATAAAAAGAAATCAATCCTGGGTGCAACTAACCCCTAAGTTTTTTTAAAATGTAAAGGTATGTCAAGTGATCATTTGATAGCTCGTTTAACAGGAATTCATACAAATATGCAGTTTCCAATTATTTGTTTTTGTAAATTTAATAAAAAAAACTTAATTTTACAATAATTATGAGTTTACTATAAAAGATGTTCAAAATGAGCTCCTCTAGTTTATTGACAAAATGCGAGACGATTATAAAAACAATTTTTAAAATTTTCTAAGATTTCTGGTGATTAAACGAGTTTAGTGTCGGATACTCTCTTTAATGTCTTCAATATTATTGGGGTTGGTGAGAAAAATCTAACAGGTTAAGGTCTGGAGATCGTGCTGGCCACTCAACTGCACCTCTTCTACCAGTCCACCGATTAGAATATATTTCATTTAGGTATCGACGAACGAGTAATGCTTAGTGCGGTTGAACTCCATCTTGCTGAAACTAGTCTGGTAAGTCTGGATAATATTGGTTTGGAAACAGAACTGCTAAATATATATATAGAACAAGATCTTTTTGAAGAAAAGTTCAGTACCTTTTGCCATTTAGAGTTTCGTTTAAAAAGGCGGGACCTATTATTCTATTACCAATTGGACCGCGTTTTGCAAAATGGAACGATATTTTGTCAAAAATGGGTTTAGGGTAATCCTGACTATAATTTCATGCTTTTCAATTCCGAATTTTGCTTGCACTATATCTTAATAGCAAAATATAAAAACGATATAATTTTGTTCCTTTTTCAAAATATAAGATGCTTTTAAAAAACTTTAAATGCGATTTCTCACAAATTGGGTCTTGGCGGTTGCATAACGGGGTCCAATTATGCCAGCCCACACATTTATCTTTTCTGGATATATCCAACACTGGATATGTTTTTCTTTAATAAAGATTGCCCTCGTTTCAATATCTACAATTTTGACGATTAACTTCACCATTTAAAAGTAAACGTACTTTCATCCAAGCAAATTGTATTTATTATTTTGCTCACAAAATTCAATTTTTTGATCGGGACCATCCTCGGTTAGTCCTGTACAAATCCTTCTCACAAGCAATTTGTCGGGCTAAAGTAACAGGAATTTCTTCGATTGCTAATAGTAAATTAAGCTTTTCATCCTTAAACAATAGGTTGGCGTTGTCTAGGAACATTTCTTGGACTTAAAATTTATATTAAAAACATTTGTGTTTTTTTTTAAATTTTGTGAACATTTCTAACACTCAATCCAGTCCCGTTGAACATTTTAAGGATGGTAACTTTTGAGTCTTCTTCAACCATTTAACAAACAATTTCGTCTTGCATTTCGGCATCAGGGATTAAATGATTTTTGAATCACTCTAATATAGGTATATGAGTCAATCCAAATGAAAACACCAAAAATGAATTTAAAAGTGCGCTGCATGATTTTTTATTTTAATGAAAAAATTTGAGAATGATCTTTTAGGTATCATATATGAAAAACCGTTGCCGTTTTAATTTTTAGTTGCTTTATTTCTAATCGGCACCCTTTAGAAACCTGAAATCGTGTCATTTTCTTACTCTCTTATAAGAGGCTACAATTTTTTTTCTGTGGCAATTATTGAAATGATTGTAATTTTATTTTACTGTCTAGTAAGTATGTATGTTTTTAATATTAATTATTATTATCTAATTAGTTCATCTCATAAAAGAATGGTAAACCAATAAAGATTTGTAATAATTTGCCAATTTTTGTGATTTTTGTCTGGCTCCTGTGCCTATTCTGCTAAATCTAGAAAGTTGCTTTTTTTCAGGTATCAAGTACTTATACAATAGAAAACGTAACTATTATTTTAAGTTTCTAGACTATCATTTTCTTTATTAAAAAAATTATTGAAACTTGATAATTTTCAAAATTTTGCCTCAGAAATCATTATGTTGAGGAAAAAATAAAAATCTGAAACTTTCAGGAAATGTAGTCCCCACCTTCATCTTTTTAGTCTAGTTAGTCTTGTTTTGTTATTTTTATCCATGTAAAAGTTATAATAATTTTTTTAATGCAGTTAAGAAGCCATATTTTTAGTTTTATTTATAATTTAAAATTTAGATGGTCAATTCATGTTTGGTAGAGAAATGTCAGAACTGTCAAAAATATTTCATAAATATTATTTGTGCGTATTTAAATTGTGATTTCAAAAAGTTTGCAAGTTTGCAAGTGTAATAAATGACGGAGTGTTCGAGATTCATGAATTTAATTACAATTAAAAATGCAAGAACATATCATAATTTTGTACCTATTTCTCATAAAAAATATTTAAGTTCTGAGAAGTTTTAAGTTGTTAAAAATAAGCAAAACCCAAAAAATATTCTAAATAAACCCCTTTATTATAACATGTTATATTTTAACCAGTTACCTAAAAAACTAAAATTTAAAGAAGTATTTACAGATTGTGTAAATTTGTTTCCAACACTAACATTTAAAATACATACATATAACTTTTAACTATTCAGTGCCTTACTAAAGGGATCAAAATAATAGAACAAGACTAACTTGGTTTAAATTTTAAAAGAAACCGACAAAAAACTGCTTAACGCATTTTTTATACGTTTAAATTAACTCTTTATTAATTTCACTTATTATACTTTACGATATAAACCATAAGGATCTTGAATATATTTTTTACATTCTTCTTTAAACACCAATTAGCCAATTAAATACTTCATTATTATGTAGACTATCATTTTCGAATATATATATATATCGAATAGTCGATATATCGAATAGTCGATATATCGATATATCGAGTAGTCGATATATCAAATAATCGATATATCGATTATTCGATATATCGACTATTTGATATATTTGATCTGCTATAGGGGGTTTCGAAAATTTGTTTCCAGTTAGGTATAAGATGTTTGATTCTAGCGCGCATTTGGATAAAAATTTATATTTCACAACCGTTGAAGTTGGCGACTTAATTTTTGTTTTAAAAACTGTGTCAATGTTCTGAGTCAGAAGTATTTTTCGTTTTTGCATTCAAAAATTTGTTTCCAGTTATGTGGGTATATGTATTCTAGCGCGCATTAGGATAAAAATTCATATTTCTACAACCGTTGAAGTTAGCGACTTATTTTTTTTTAAACTTTGTCAATGTTTTGCGTCAAAACTTTTGACTACATGAGTTGTCTAGTTTCAAAAGCGGCCATCTTCAATTTATAAAAAAAATGAGGTATTTCATCAATAAAATCGAAATATTACGTAGTATATTAGTGCAAAATTATGTCCCAACAAAAACGGCTATTTCCAAGGAAAATAATTTATTGAAGTTTTATGTTAGTTTTAATAACGGCCATCTCCATTGATGTTTTAAGTACAAAAATGCCCGCCCACTGACGGCGCGAGCAGATCATGCAAGACAGAGCTATGTGAATTATTGAAAATTTCTATACATATATATCGAGTCAAATGTAGTCAGAACTAGGGCTGGGAGAAGATATCGATATATCGATTAAAATATCGATATATCGACTACTTTTTTAACCTAAGAAAATATCGATATATCGAATAGTCGATATATCGAATAGTCGATATATCGAATAATCGATATATCGAATAGTCGATATATCGAATAGTCGATATATCGAATAGTCGATATATCGAATAGTCGATATATCGATATATTCGATATGTCGATTATTCGATATATTCGATATGTCGATTATTCGATATATCGACTATTCGATATATCGACTATTCGATAAATCGAATATATCGATATATTATTAATATCGATAATATCGATATTTTTTTCAATATCGCACACCCCTAGTTGGGACTACATTTCCTGAAAGTTTCAACATAATGATTTCTGAGGGCAAAATTGGCTAATTTTGAAAATTATCAATTTTCAATAATTTTTTTTAATAAAGAAAATGATAGTCTAGAAACTTAAAATAATAGTTCCGTTTTCTATTGTATAAGTACTTGATACCTGAAAAAAAATAACTTTCTAGATTTAGTAGAATAGGCACTAGAGCCAGATAAAAATCACAAAAATTGGCAAATTATCATGAATCTTTAGTGGTTTACCATTCTTTTATGAGATTAACTAAATGGATTACAATAATTTATATCGAAAACACACTTACTGAACAGTAAAAAAAAATTAAAATCATTTCAATATTTGTCACAGAAAAAAGTTCTGGACCACTATAAGAGAGTAAGAAATTGATACGATTTCAGATTTCTAAAGGGTGCCGATTAAAAGTAAAGAATCCAAAAATTAAAACGGCAACGGATTTTCATATTTGATACCTAAAAGATCATCCTCAATTTTTTTTATCAAAATAAAAAATCAAGCAGCGCACCCCATTTGGTGTTTTTATTTGGAATGACTCATATATATTTCTAATCAGAACTTTACTGTGGCAGATCCCAATACAAATTCTTTTATTCAAGCCTACGTAAATGTGTACTTTTTGGTGCATTTAAAATATCAAGTAGTATGTAGAGTGTACTCTTATACGAGAAGAGATGAGCCAGGTTAACCCTCGCGTTTCTCTCGAACAAACTAGCTCTAACAGTAAGTCGAGAACGTAGGCGCGAGCACTGGAAGAGTATAATGACCCAATTATGTTCCTTCGCATCCGCTAGATTAAACAAGCTACCCCTTTCGCAGCAACAAAACGTCGCTCTCGGAAATCCAGAGGAAATTTTATCTCTATTACCTGCATACAGCTGAAATTCAAAAATCTGAAGGTTTTATAATCCGGCCTTTTATGCGCTACTCTATGTTGGATACGGTGAACTAAAAGGATTCGTTTGGGTTGTCTTG